ACTACATGAGATGGTCAGTGACTGCAGATATGCTGCATGAGATGATCAGGGATTAAAGACATGTGCTGCAGAAGATGATCGTGGGCCGCTGACATACTACACAAGATGGTCAGAGACTGTAGACATGATTCAGATTGGAGACACATTACATGAGACAGATAGAGATCACCACTATCAGAGGGCAATAGGGAAACAAAGACTACTGTTTGCAGGGGCCGTGACAGCCACACAGCAAATGCAAAATGCCCCATGTGTCTGAGGTTGGTCACCAGGGTCTTACAGGAACACTGTGGTGTCAAATCTTATTTCCATAACCTTCTCCTCCACGTTCCTGAAATCTGCTGACAGGGTTATGCTCAGATAGGCCCTGGATACAGAATAACACCCAGCTCTAACTGCTGTACATAGACATGGGCCCTTGACACAACTCAATGATGGTGCTCTCTTATATAGGCCCTTCCCTTTGTGTCATGTCATTACTTAAATAATAAGTGCACTTAAAAACAAAAGCGCACTTATCCTTTTGGCTCGCAAACCAATCCCACCCTCCCCTTCTATAGATTTATGCTTAGAATTCTGACGGGCTTGGCCTCCCTTGTTTGTTTACATGCTAAGTAGAAAGTCTGCCTTTTCTGGCCATTCATGCACTGCATCTTCTTGAATTCTATGCGGCTCGTCTACCTCTGTCCCCCAGCCAAGGGGCAGCCCCAGGGCTGGATTAACATAGGGGCTACTGGAGCGCCAGCTGCAGGCCCACCACTGAAAATAGGCCCGGGCCGGCCCAGATCGGTATGTCTGATGGCAATCTGGGCAGTTAAGGCTAAACACAATCAGGCAGAGGCGCCGGCGGCTCTCATCAGGCGGCCACTCACTGGGGCCTTGTGGGGCCCTAGTGACAAGCGAGTGGCCGCATAATTAGAGAGCCGCCTCTGCTACATCCAGTCAGACAGCACCTGGCTCACGATAAGCTTAATCCGGCCCTGGGCAGCCCCATAGAATCTTGCTGCTATATGCCATAGGCATTGGCCCAGGAGTGCCTTATGGTAAATGCAGGCATAGCGCCCATGTTATTGTCAGCTCAGGTGATTGAAGGTTGCTTGGCGTAGGTTGGAATGGTATGGAAAAGTATTCCCTTTAAATATCCCTCAAAAGTACATGCCAACTTTCAACAAATCATCCGCTTTACGTTATATTGCCCTAAACAGTGCTTGCTCCCGGTGATTTCTTTGTTCCAATATCAGGACCCCCCTGCCAGGATGGCATTTAATAGCCAGATGATACATCGCCCCACATCATGTATTCAAAACACCAATGTGAATAAGACCTAAGGTTCTATTCTTTTGGAGATCCTTCAATCTTTTGCTATTCAATGGGTCACAAAATATGCTGGATATGCCTTGATGGTAATGTGCATTCTCAGTGACAGTTAGATACAAGCAGTGCAGCTGGATGGTACTGGTAAACCTATATTACCTGTCAGATAAACCTCAATATGTCAGCTATTACCTATTATAAGTATTTTTTTTAAAACAACCTTTTTGCACTCCTCTCTGATTTAGGGCCCAATTACACTATTGTGTTGCGTTAACACCTGGCAACGCATATTGCATGCACTGGAGCAATACAGTGCCATCCAATCATGCTCAATGGCACCCCAGCGCACCTAGCTGATAGACATGCATTGCAGGACAGTAACGCTGAACATTACTCCATGTCTCTAGGTGGTAAAGGGCCCTGACATTACACTCAAAAATAAAGAAAAATGAACTCAGGTTTGGGAAACTTAATTTCCTCTCTGATCCGTTTTTATCTTCCAATGACTGATTCACACTGTAATGCGTGTTACTTTGTTGTATTAGGGCAGCCCATTCATTATATATGGCTCCATTCATTATAAATGGGCTGCAACACACACCGCAACGGATCAAATAAAAAGTGTCACCTTTTTTTTGCAACACAGCACAATACGCACAGTATTTGCATAGTGGTGCATCATTCAAGCACTCTACTTACATTGCATTGGTGCGCCGTTCACAATGCATAGCAATACCATTCAATATATACTGTATGTCAACACAACACTGCTACACATGCCAAGCTGACCACCAATCAGACATGCAGCAGTCCCACACCCGCACAGGGCACGTCCTTCCCCAGCAGGGAAAGGTGATGGACAAGTCATGTCTGCGCTACTTTCCCAGAGCTCACCTGTCAATAATAAAGCTCTCAGTGCTGGGGAAGGCTGGAAGTTTGCAGGTTCAGAAAAAGAAATGCTATTTTGTTTCTCTTCTTCCCGCAGCTTGGGGTCAGCACTCTGCTGTTGGCTGCTTGAGTTAGCCACTTTCTCCGGCACTGGCGCTCCCGCACCCCGTATAGTACAGGTCTGTCTCCAGCATTGGTTTTCCCACACCCTGTATTCTTGGCACAGGTGCTCCCGCACCCGTATTGTACAGGTCTTGTCCCTGGCCCTGGAGCTCCCGCACCCCATATTGTACAGGTCTGTCCCTGGCATTGGCGCTCCCGCACCCCGTATTGTACAGGTCTGTCCCTGGCATTGGTGTTCCCACACCCTGTATTCTTGGCACAGGCGCTCCCGCACCGAGGAAAGTACAGGTCTGTCTCCAGCATTGGTGTTCCCTCACACTGTATTCTTCGCACAGGCGCTCCCGCACCCGTATTGTACAGGTCTTGTCCCTGGCACTGGAGCTCCCGCACCCCATATTGTACAGGTCTGTCCCTGGCACTGGCGCTCCCGCACCCCGTATAGTACAGGTCTGTCTCCAGCATTGGTGTTCCCACACCCTGTATTCTTGGCACAGGCGCTCCCGCACCCCGTATTGTACAGGTCTGTCCCTGGCATTGGCGCTCCCCGTATTGTACAGGTCTGTCCCTGGCATTGGCACTCCCGCACCCCGTATTGTACATGTCTGATCCCAGCACTGGTGCTCTTGCCCCCGTATTGTACAGGTCTGATCCCGGAATTGGCGCTTCCGGACCCCATGCCAGGTGTGGGAGCGCCAATGCCAGGATCAGAGCCAGGTGAGCGTGGGAGCTTCAGCACCTTATATTGTACAGGCCTGTACCCGCACTGACGCTCCTACACCCCGTATTGTACAGGCCTGTACCCGCACTGACGCTCCCACACCCCGTATTGTACAGGTCTGTTCCCGCATTAGCACTCCCACATTGTACAGGTCTGATCCTGGCACTGGCTCTCCCACGCCCCATATCACCCGGCACTGGCGCTCCAGCACCCTGTATTGTACAAGTCCGATCCCGGCACTGGCTCTCCCGCACCACGTATTGTACAGGTCTGAGACTGTAGTCCATGCTGGGAGTGAGCTTGGAGCGGTGACTACTTTACAACACACACAGGGACCATGGGGAACAAAAGTAGCCACCCTCCAGAAGGAAGGACAGTGTCAGCACCAATTCAGAGATGATTTGAGGATCTACAACTGAGTGATACACAAATAAGATACATTTTTTTAATAGTTAAGGTACTTGAATGTATTTTTAAGATTTAACTCCTGAGTTTAGTGTCACCTTAAAAAAAACAAACATCCAAAGTAAAGATTTGAAAACGCTCATGCTCAATTGTGAATGGGGGCTATGGAGACAGGTAAAGGCGTGCATGTGCATTCGTTTTCTTCTTTTTTGCACTATCATGCAAATTAAAATGTGCTTTATGCACAGAGAAGGGCCTTTCATTGAGTAGAGACAGCACTCAGCCATGGTATATGTTAGCAGATGACTAAGATCATAATTATAGCTGGATCAGAAATTGCAAATGTGTCCATGTCCCAACAAATGTTTTTAAACTTTGACTACCTGGCTTTTGGATTTGGCTAGTGTAGAGTAACTGGCAATGGCTCTCCCGTATTGTACAGTTTTGATCTTGGCACTGGCTCTCCTGCACTCCATATTTACATGTCTATTCCCGACACTGGCTCTCCTGCACCCCATATTGTACAGGTCTCATCCTGGCACTCCTGCAACCCGTATCCCCAGCACTGGCTCTCCCAAAACCTGTATTGTACAGGTCTGTTCCCAGCACTGGCTCTTCTGCACCCCGTATTGTACAGGTGTGATCCTGACACTCCCGCACCCTGTATCGTACAGGTCTGTCCCTGGCGCTCCCGCACCCTGTATCGTACAGGTCTGTCCCCAGCACTGGCACTCCCCCAACCCGGATTGTACAGGTCCGTCCATGGCAACGGTGCTTCTGCACCCCGGATTTTACAGGTCTGATCCTGGCATTGGCGCTCCTGCACCCCTTATTGTACAGGTCTGTCCCTGGCACTCCCACACCCCATAGTTCTGATCTGGGCAATTGCTCTCATGCACACCTTATTATACAGGTCTGATCCTGGCACTGGCGGTCCTGCACCTCTCATTGTACAGGTCTGTCCCTGGCACTTCCGCACCCCATATCCCACAGTTCTGATCTGAGCAATGGCTCTCCTGTACCCCTTATTGTATAGGTCTGATCCTGGCACTGGCGCTCCTGCACCCGCTATCCCCAGCACTGGCTCTCCCGCGCCCCGTATTTACAGGTCAGTCCGTTCCCAGCACTGGCTCTCCCGCACCCCGTGTCTCTAGCACTGGCTCTCCCGCACCCAGCATAGTACAGGTCTGTCCCTGGCACTGGCGCTCCCGCACCCCGCATTGTACAGGTCTGTGCCCGACACTGGTGCTCCCGCACCCGGTAATGTGCAGGTCTGTCCTCGGCACTGGCGCTCCCGCACCCCGTATCCCTAGCACTGGCTCTCGCGCACCCAGCATAGTACAGGTCTGTGCCCGACACTGGCGCTCCTGCACCCCACGTTGTACAGGTCAGATCCCAGCGCTCCGGTAACAGCTGCGAACTAAACGTGGCGGCGTACAAGCCCTTTCATGCAGACAGCCCTGAGGGAGGGTGGGAGCCAGAGAGAGGCAGGGAGGAAGGAGTGCGGATCTATGAGTGTGTTGTGCTGGAGGTGGGGGGGGGGAGGGGACCAACTAAAAGCAACAGCAAACAGTAGTGAGACATCCTTTACACTTTATCCGTCAATCAGGCTTAATGGGGTATAAAAAGTCCCCAGCTCCAGCGCTGGGAGAGAGAGCCGCAGCAGCCCATCTATAGCGCATGGGGAGCACACTGGACTTCTGCAGCTGGAAGGCTTTGTAGGGACTTCAGTTGACTTGCTTCATTCACTAAGCTCACCGATCAGAGCCAATGAGGGCACCGATGTGCTGATCCTCCCAGTGCCAAGTCTACCACCTTCACCTGAAGAGGTGCAGCAGCAGCAAAGAGTTGGCACCGCATCAGAGCAGCGCTAGCCGGGGCGGTGGGCATCAAGCATGAATTGGGGGTGCGCTGGCAAGCTGCTTCTCCTGCCCATGCAGATGGTCTTCTGCGTGCTGAAAGCTGCCATCTACTTGGTCTTGCCCACCCGGCTGAGGGACTTGAGAGGGGACATCGTGCTCATCACTGGAGGCGGCAGGGGCATCGGGAGGCAACTGGCCAGAGAGTTTGCCAAGCAAGGAGCCAAGAAGGTAAGGGCGACTCATCTTGTGCCACTTTGTCAAATGCACTTTGCACCTAAGACTTATGTTTTGTTTTGTCACTTGCCAGGCTAGTGCCAGCCCTAGAGCCGACTTTTCTGGGGTTTTGTTGGATCTCATTGGCATTTGTATAAACAGTACAGTCTGCCCTCTTTTTGCAAGTGCCAACCTTAGATCTGTGTTTTGGTTTTATTGGCATTTGTATAAACAGCACAGTGTGCCCATTTTTTTTGACAAGTGCCAGCTGCAGACCTGTCTGAGTTTTGTTGGATCTGGTTGGCATTTGCATAAACAGTACAGCGTGCTCATTTTTTGACAAGTGCCAGCCCTAGACATGTATGGGTTTTGTTGGATCTGGTTGGCATTTGCATAAACACTACAGCATGCCCATTTTTTGACAAGTGCCAGCCCTAGACCTGCCTAGGATTTTGTTGGATCCGGTTGGCATTTGTATAAACAGTACTGTGTATGCTCTTCTTGACAAGTATCCTGAAGCAGCGGAGTCCTCCTGGCACTTGATGGGTTAATCTTAGTTCCCTTTTTTCTTTTTTTTTGGGGACAACTGAAAAGCAGCCAAATCAAACTGAGATCACTTGCTCCTGCTTTTAAGTGGCGTCAAGGTTTAACCAGGGGAAGGGTGCCTGCAGGCGTAGGTCACTTGGCATGGCCCCAGAGAGCAGTGTGTATAAGCACTTGGCATGAGGGTTACTGCATGGCATGTTGATCTACTTGGTGTGTGGTAGAAAGAGAGGAACACACGGAACAAGGTCCATTGTGAGGACATAGTTTGGTCTTTAGACCCTGATGACAGAAGCCTACCCCTCCTGATAGCTCTGATGTGTACACAGCCATGAACCAGCCACTTCTGGCGGTCAGGTGGCTTCAACCTCATGATCCTGGCTAGAAATAGTTCTGGGCGGGTCAGCACATCTTGGCACAGAGGAGGGCCCGGCATTTAAAAAGACAGAACAGACACAGAGGCTATTGCTTGTCTCTATTCCCTGGGCAAGATATCTGTTCATTTAAGTAGGGAAGAGAGGGATTTTCAATATCCAGGAAGAAGCCAACGGGGATATGCACAGTGTTTCATCTTTAGCTGTTAACATTGTAACAGTTTCCAGGGGCACACTACTTCTGAGTAGGAGTCAGTCCTGAGCCATTATATAGGAGTAGGTCTGAAACGTCCAATAGGATGCAACATAAAAACCTGTGCGTGCCCCCAGATCGCAGCTATATGTGAGACTTTTTTTGAGATAAGATCAGTGAGGAGCACAATTGTTGCAGGAACCGCAAGGCATTCTCCCCAGCGCCTGCTGGTAATTTTGAGCCCCCATTCACTCCTGAACATTTCAAGAAACATGCAACTCAATGTGAAAAATGTAATTATTTTAATGATGTCTATTCACACTTAGGCGATTGAGTTGGTGAGCTGTTTTTTGCGTGGTTGTCGTGGGTTTCGTTTGCGCGACTGCTTTGAAGACCGTGCGGTTTTCAATCCATAGAGATGTCTATGTGACCCAAACCCCGCAACATCCATCCGAAAATAGCTCCTGCACCTTTTTTGCTCGTCAGGTGATTTTGTCCGCGCGACAAACCGCAAAGGTGTGAACAGCCTCCATTGACTTCAATGCGAATCTGTGTTTTGCGCCATAAATCGGCTAGGTATGAAGCTAGCCTCAAGCATTTTATCATTTGCAGCTCAAAAAATGTAATGAGCTCTTTTCAGACGGAATCATGTCTCTTTGAACTCATAGACTATGATTGGAATGCCAGAAAATGCGTTTGTCGTGCAATTATGGCGCCTAATAACTGTCTCCTACTCCTAGTAACTAGCTTTCTATGGGCTAAAAAAAATCCACTTAACACCCCTTTCACACTGAGCGACATGGATATTCCACGTGATTTCGCGCTGAGTGGCTAGGAGCTACATTGCGCATTTTATTGCGTTACATAGCGTGTTTTTTAGGCGGGACTTCATTGCTGCTATAATTGGGCTGTAACCAATCAACAGCGATCTTGAAGTGACATCATTCTTTCCTTCCATTTTGTTTTTTAGGCGGGACTTCATTGCTGCTATAATTGGGCTGTAACCAATCAACAGCGATCTTGAAGTGACATAATTCTTTCCTTCCATTTTGCAGTGCAAAATTTACCCTTCTGTAGCGCAATATCGCGCGATGAAGTTGCGCAATATCCCCGGTAATGCGTGATTCCGAGCGACACTATAGAGTCTATTGGAGCGGAATCACGCAACATCAGCGCAAAAAACGGCCATGTACGAGCGACAAGCTACAGACGACATTGAGCTGTGAGATGTGAACAGCTCCATTGAAATGCATTGGACAAGCTACATAGAGCGATATCGCGCGGAAATATGCGCGATATCGCTGCAAAAATCGCACGATAAACCGCTCAGTGTGAATGGTGCCTTAGTCCTTGAAAAACATTTAAATACACATCCAAAATAAGAGCTCTGAAAACGTTCATTTTTTAAATGGGGGCCACAGAGGCAGGTAAAGGTGTGCATATGCAAATACAAATCTGCTTCATGCAGAGAGAAGGGCCTTTCATTAAAGGAGAACTATGAGGTGAGTGCTTTTCACTCACCTCATAGTTCTAGCCGACCTGTGACAATGAGACTGTCACAGGTTGGCTCAGTAGATCGGGAGGTGAGCGAGGCAGAGCCAGCTGTCAGTCACTCACGCAGCTGGGCGGATCTCGACATCGATGTCGGGATCCGCTGTGGCGTCTCAGTGTACCGCGAGCTGTAGCTCGCGGTATACTGAGCTTAGGGTAACGGGAGGACGCTAGTTTGTGTCCTCCCGTTACCCTAAGGAGAACTATGGGGAAAAGCCCTGACCCCATAGTTCTCCTTTTAAGTACAGGTTCTGTGACAGTACTCAGCTATGGTATATGTTGGCACAAAGGGAGACAAATTAATATGGAAGTCAGCAGACAGTCTGTCCCATCTAGGAGACAGCAGGATCTTTTTTTTGGAACCAGCTCCATTGACAACTAGAGAAGTTTGCAAAAGTTAGGCACCAACTGTCATTTGTCAGGAGCATTAGCTACCTGGCTCCTGGGATTTGTCCAGCCTTGTGTTGGAAGATTATTATTATTATTATACAGGATTTATATAGCGCCAACAGTTTGCGCAGCGCTTTACAATATAAGGAAGACATTACAAATACAATTCAAGACAAGATGGTAAGGAGGGCCCTGCCCGTGAGGGCTTACAATCTAAAAAGGAGGGGATACATGAGGAGGTAGCTGTGCGGGGATGATTGACTAAGTTCATAATTCTAGCAGGATCGAAAGTTGCAAACGTATCCACATCCCAACAAAAAACGTGTTTTTAAACTTTGACTACCTGGCTTTGGGATTTGGCTAGCGTAGGGTTAACGCCATGTTGCCAACTGCCTCTTGCATACTGCAGATGGGGAAGTGGTGGAGTTAATCTCGTATGTATCTGAGCCCAGTTTTCAGCAGACATTGAGTCACCATCGTCTGACGAACGCACGATTCATCACGGTGGATTTTTTCAGCAGGTTCACAGTTGTCCTTTTATTGTTAAACATCACTTTCTGCATTCGTTTGCCCCCCTTTTTTGTTTTTTTCTACTGGCTATCAAGATCCTGACTTATTTACTACAAATCATGACATTTAAAGGGAGTGTAGACTTTTTTTCTTTTTAGCTGGAGGGCTTATGCTGATTTAATTGATTTCCTGAGCTGCGCTGAATCCTCCGGCAGCCCCCGGAACTGTTTGAAAAGCCTCTTTAGAAATAGCTGCTTGTCAAAGATCTGAGGTAGACAACCTCTGCATTATGAGCTGTATGCCATCTAGCACTAATCATACACAATCGGCGTGCATTAGCTGCTGTAGGCTCCATCACCTCAGTTAACCCAGGCCATTGCATTGAAGATCGATGCTGGCGCACAAAGTCCTACCTACAATGTATTTTGCAATTTGATAGCTTTTGTTGCAAAATAAAAGCGTATGTTATGCAAACACAAACCATTTAAAATGACAAATGTCCTTCCTGCTTTATTTAGGAAGGAAGGGCTATGACTGTGCAAGGGGAAGCAAGCGTCTGATGTCACTGTAGAATGTTGAAGTCTGGTTGCTATAGGTTACTATATTTTGAGTACAGCCATTGCACTTTTTTTTTTAATTACGGTAATGGATAGGAATTGTGGTTTTGAATTGTATTCGGGTATCCAATAAAAAGCCTTGCACATCTTTTGAGGCATATAAGTAATGAATAGATATCTTGCTGCACTCCTTTAGCGGGTGGAGATGACCGGATAGACAGGTGGGTGCTTGCAGTGAGCACGGATGGCACCGGGAATAAACTGAATTTGTAGAAATGTCACCAGCAATCTAGCATGCTGGTGACATTTCTACAAATTATTTTGAGGCATATTCTCTAACTGACAGATACACTATATTGCCAAAAGTATTGGGACACCCCTCCAAATCACTGGATTCAGGTGTTATTTGGCACAACAACAGTGCGTAGAGAGTTTCATGGAATGGGTTTCCATGGCCAAGCAGCTGCATCCAAGCCTTACATCACCAAGTGCAATGCAAAGGCGTCCCAATACTTTTGGCAATATAGTTTATAGCAAGACCAATATCTTCATTTGGTACAAACTGCATAGAGACCCACCCAATGCCATTTCACCACCTAAGGTGATTTCGAGGCTCGCCAATGTCTCTGAGGCCCGGTTCACACCTGGGCGTTTTGTAGCGCGTTCCTACGCTCTGCAAAACGCTCAAACTCTGAAATCCCTTTACTTCCTATGGGTATGGTTCACACCTGGGCGTATTACAGGCCGTATGAACACGCTACAAAACGCCCTACGCCCAAAGAAGTACAGGAGCTTCTTTGGGGCGTATTTGCCGTGCGTATCCATTGGGATACAGCCAGGTAGCCCTCGGAAATGCGCGTTTGTCGCTCATTTTTTACAGTGAATCGCGCGAAAAAC